CTGTGATGGGGAGCTGCTACCGGTCTCAGCTCCAAAAGCAGAGGCCTGAGAAACTCCCCCCCCAACCCCCCCCGAGCCGTGGTAACTGACCTTTCCTGCAAGCGCACCCCCCCTGCCAAAGTGAGGAGAGGACGAAGCATAAAGAACCCTAAAGAACCCTTCCTTATTTCGTCTAGAATCTTTCCAAGATTTTTCCATTCTTTTTGGTTTTGGGGAATGGTAGCTGGCGTTTGGTTCATTTTCTGGGAACCAGACTCTGGGAAGTCCATGTTAACTACAGAGCCACTCTCGAGTGCCCAGGCCCACTTAAAAAAAAAAAAAAATGAAGAAATGCCAAAACAGGATTTTAGAAACAGAAGTATTTTAACTGTTCACATTGGATACATCAGTACGTTTAGCATACACGCATACAATAACTATATAATTATCCCGAGACAACTTAAAAGTCCAAATTTGACGCTTTCTGGCCTTGCCTCTTAGAAGGCCTGCGTAAGCACCCAGCAGACTCAGCCTTACATTTCTGACCACCTCATGGGAGGCCTTCTATCCTCCTCACCCACTCCTTGTAAGTCTGAGTCTAGACAAGTGTAGGGTAAGTTCCAGAGGAACCAGGCAGGTGACTGGTGATTTTCGATCTTTGGGGATTCTAATTCTGTGTATTTGCCGTGTCACGTGGAGCAATTCACTTTACTTCCGGCCTCCAGGAGCCGCAGTCCCGTCAGGGGGCAGACCCGGAGTCGTAGATGTCCTAGTAGTGCTGTGGGTGCCAGCAATGATGCTTGTCTTTGGGGCGTGAGTCTTGGCACGGTGGTGGCTGTGGTGGTGGTTTCTCGATCTGAATGCATTACAAATGAGAAATTTTCAAGCTGTGGTTTTTCTTACTAATAGAATTGCAAACAGGGTTAAGGACAGGACTTTGCAGCGTGAGCTGCTCTCCCGTTGGGCTCCCGGACTTCAGTTACACCGTCTACTATAGTGGGGTTACGGTTCCCTGTTTGTACAGCCTGATGGGACACTCTGCAGGGGCAGGGACTTGGCCCATGCCCTGTTATAGCCTAGGCATCTTACTTGTTGCACTTTATATGGAACACGATTGATCCCTACATAAAAGATATGAAGGGGTTGGGATCACTTGACATGGTGGAAGGAAGGCTGTGGAGCATTTTGTCCCGTCAGCTACAGCCGTTGATCTTGCAGAGTTGGCTCTGAACCACCAGGGGGCGCTGGGAGCTGCGAGGGGCCAGGGAGGCTGAAAGTCCTGCACCAGCTGGGCGGTCCCCGTCCCCACCCACTGTGGGCAACAGTGCCCACAGTGCCTCTGTTGAGAGACACGAAACCAGCAGCAGATAGGTGCTTTGTAATAAGCCCGATGTGAGCGGTGTTATCTCCTAAGGCCAAGATCTGGAGAAGTCACCCAGCTAACAGGCAGGCAAGTCCGCCCAGATTCCTGGCCCTTCACTAATCTGATACATGGCCACCTCTGCCCTGAGGACATATCCAGCCATGCAAATTTAATTAACCTGACAGCCCTAGAAACTTAAATTAGATCTAAGGAAGAACTTCCTTTTTTTTTTTTTTTTAATTAGAGCTAAAATGGGGCATTCTAGAACAGGGCTTTTCAAGTTGTCACCCATGATCCTTAGTCACAGAATCAATTTAGTGGGTTGACACATAAAGAAAAGAAAAGGAAAGGGACAGAGTAAAAACTATCAGTACCTCACAGATGGTAAGGCTGACGTGTGTGTGTGGCGTGTGTGCTTTGGATCATGGAAATATATTTCTGCCTGTGGGTCATGGTCAAAAATGTCCTAGAGCAATAGGGATTATAGTTTAGATCATTATAGGTTAGATTGTAAGGTGCTTGGGGGCAGAGGTCTGTTTTCTCTTTCTTTTTATGAACCCTGCATCCTTTTTTTTTTTTTTTAAGATTTTATTTATTTATTTGACAGAGAGAGAGAGAGAACAATCAGGGGGAGCGGGAGGGAGAGGGAGAAGCAGGCCCCTCCACTGAGCAGGGAGCCCCACATGGGACTTGATCCCGGGACCCTGAGATCATGACCTGAGCTGAAGGCAGATGCTTAACCAACTGAGCCACCCAGGTGCCCCTGCATCCTTAACCTAATGCTGAGTGTGTGGCTGGTCCATCAGTCCGTCCGGAGAACTTACTGTATTTCTCCCTTCTTCCTTCAGACTGGAGGAAGTCAGAACACATCCTGTGCTGTCCTCACAAGGTGGTGGTATGTCTCTCGAGCTTTGCATGTGAGGAAAAAAGCAGAGCGACACCAAGCGAGTGATAGTTAAGAGCTTGGCTCTGAATTCTGAGGAAGCTGAGTTTGCATTCTGGGTGTGCAGTGTCTAGGCGTGTGGTATTGGGCAACTTCTGTAACCCTACTGAGCTTCACTGTCTCCATCTTCAAGCGTGGCGTGATCAGGGTCCCTGCCTCCGAGGTATCGTGAGGATGAGGCGAGAGAACTCAAGTTTGGGGGCCTCTAGCACAGGGCGTGGCATCTGAGAAGCGGGTTGGAAGCATTGTCAGCTGCTCTTGTATTTATAGTGACTATGAAGGGGGACCAAGTGACTCACCTCGGACCCACCACTGGTGGTGGGAGCTGCTAGAGCTCCCGTTCTGTGACCGTTGGAGATCTTGATGTGGACTAGAAGCCGGAGCCTGTGGCGGGTTGTGCAGGGAAAGGAAGTGGATGCTGTAGAGGAGGAGGTGTCTGTGTGCATGGAGATGGTCTGGTTTTGTGATTTAGAGAAAACAGAGCATCGCCCACGTGCAGTGAGCTAGGACTATCACTGTGGGATCTGAGAGTATACGTGGCATCTCTTAGAAAAAGCTAGGTGTTTTTTACTTAATCAGAAAGCAACAGTTTCAATTTAATGTTACGGGGTTTTTTGGTTGTTTGTTTTTAACTACGTGCACGTGTGCACACGTGCACATGCACACACACACACACACACACACACACAGGCAACTATTTCCTGAAATGGAACATAGCCAGCCATGTATGGGATTAAATTGGTGCTTTTGTGTCTAGTAGTTGTGACACCTTCAATGAAAGCTCCAAGATCTGATAAATGGTGATTTCTGAAATCGCTAATGGGCCCAGTCAGAATTAACTGTAGGAAAGTAAATCTGTGATGTTTTGAAGGTGCAGGACACCGGGTAAAACCCCAGGGGGACTTGGTTTTCCATTAGCCCTGCTTTTCAAGTACAAGTCTGTTCCCTTCTGTCATGTAGCCTGGGGAGTCGTGAGCCGTCTTTGTGCCCCAGAGTTAAAATGTTTTTGTCCTTGTATCCCTCAGTGCTGATTTTGTATCTTGGGAGGGAAGGGTGGTAGACACTAAAAATTATTCAATAGAAAGTTTCAGGTGTATATTTTAGTTGGAAATGTGACTTTCTCCCTAGTTTGGAGACAGCCAAGTACAACAGTAAAGAGCACTGACTTCATTCAGCTAGACCCACATCTCCAGCCACTCTTTGCTGCTTTTCACCTTCCTTTATTTTTCCCAGCTTTATTGAGGTAGAATTAACAAATAAAAATAATATGTATCTAAGGAACACAATGTGATGATTTCATATACATCTACACTGTGAAGCGATTACCTCAAGTAGTTACTACTATTTTGTGTGGTGAGAACACTTAGGACCCACTCTTGGCAGATTTCAAGTATACAATACGGTATTGTTAACTGTAGTCACTGGGCTGTTCTAGATCCCTAGAGCTTATTCTTCTTATAACTTAAAACCTGTACTCTTTAACCAGCGTCTCCCCATTCACCCCACCCCTCAGCCCCTGGCAACCGCCATTCTATCCTTCACTTCCTAGGAGTTGTTTGACTTTCTTAGATTCCATGTATAAGTGAGATCATATATTATGTATTTTTCTGCGTCTGGCTTCTTTCACTTGGTACAAGACCCTCCACCTTCATCCGTGTTGTCCCAAATCTGCCTGTGTTGTGTGACTTTAGGCAGGTAGCTAGACCTCTCTGCATTCCATCTGTGCCATGGGCTAATAACAGCACCACGACCCGTGAGTCTGTGGAATGTGTATGAGCTCTTCAGCACGTGGGGCACCGTCATCGTCGTCATGAGCACTAATATTATCAGTGGAAGGTCTTCCAGGAGGCCTGGCTCTGCCATTGTTAATAGCTGGTCTTGGATATGTTGCCGAACCTCAGTATTATTTTCTCTAAAACAGGGGAGAGGCCCAGGTGCTTCAGACTCCTCCTAGCTCGACCGCTCTGCGTTGTGTGCCATGTGTTCTCTTTCTTCCGAGGCCTCGGGATGTGCTGCTGGCTGCTGGGGACAGGGAGGTGAGATCCCACTTTCTGTTAAGGACCCACGGGCCTCTGCCCGATCAGTGTCGGTTCTCATCACCTTTGTTTTTCTTTCCTTGATTTTATATTCTCCGTGGATCTCCCTTTCCCTAGCCTCTGCCAAACGACTCCAGGCTTTTCTGTGCTTCTTCTAATGGATTCAGCCCAGAGGTATGCCTGGTGGGGTGAAGTTAGGTCTCAGCTTGGCGGAGCCTCACACCCAGGTGAGGCTACAAATAAGGGTGATCCCGTCCCTTCGCTGTTGGTTTTTAAATTCTGTCTGTGTTTGTCCTTCCCACATTCCCCAATCCAAGCACTGGGGCTGCTTGCATCTGAGGTTGACCAGGGAAAGGCGCTCGTGGCAAAGGGATGACTTTTTTGATTTGTCGTAAACCACTTTCTCACTTTGTTTCCTTTCCGGTCTTCGGCATTGTCGAAATTTTAAAGGGCTTACCAGAGCTAATCTCAGTGTAATTTTATATTTTGCATGTGCATCTTTGCTAGCGCCCCCACCTTTGCAAAAAGTGGAGCTGTGGAGTTCATCTCTGGCCTGCCACTGGTATTTGAGTTTTATCTCCTTGTTCTCCGGGACAGGCATGCACAAAGAATTAATTGAGTTGTTTTCAGCCCACTTCCTGCCTAATTGAACACCTGCCTATTTGTTACCTGATCTGTCAACCGTCCCTGTCATGTTGGTGTCCTGCTCGTATCAGAAGATTCGGTTTTGTCATTTGCAGTTAGCCAACTCTGTCCTTCGGAGAACTGCTTTCTTCTTCACTTAATTTAAAGGTGCCAATGTGTCCTCTTTGGGTGCAGTCCCTCTGCGATCCCATCTTGCCACTGTCCTCCCAGTTAACGTCATTGCCGATTGTCAGCCTCACGAAAGCTGCTTGAAGACCAGACGCAGAGAGAGGGTATGTGTGCATCCTGGGTTGATTCTCATGCTCACCTTGCTCTCCCTCGGTCCCCAGACGAGGTTTCTAGCAAGTCATTCTTCATGTAGTGCTCATGGTTTAGAGCTGATGAGAAATCTTTTAAGGGAAGGGACCTGGTTTCTTTTTAAATTAAGACTTTGCTTTTCTTAGAGCAGCGTTAGGATCGCAGCAATATTGAGCCGAAGGTGCCGAGATTCCCCTCATACCCCCTCCCCCCGCCCCCATGCATGGCCTCCCTCATTGTCAACACCCCCCACCAGAGTGGTACACTTGTTAGAGCTGATGAACCTACACGGACACGTCATCATCACCATAGTTAATATTCACTCTTGGTGTTGTACTTTCTCAGGATTTGGACAAAATGCATAACGACACATATTCAACCAATGACCTGTATCTAGTATTTTCATTGCCCTAAAAATCTTCTGTGTGCTCCCTATTCATCTCACGCCTCCCCACCACCCCCTGGCAACCACTGATCTTTTTTACTATCTCTATAGTTTTGCCTTTTCCACAGTGTCATGGAGATGTAATTAGAGTATGAGGCCCTCTCAGATTGGCTTCTTTCATGAAGTAATATGCATTTAAAGTTCCTCCGTGTCTTTCCATAGCTTGATAGCTCATTTCTTTTTAGTGCTGAATAATATTCCATGGTTTGGATATACCACTGTTTCTTTATCCATTTCCATGCTATAAATACTCATGTGCTGGCTTTTGTGGGGACATAAGTTTTCACATCTTTTGGGTAAATACCAAGGAGTGTGATGGCTGTATCATAGGGTGAAAGTATGTTTAGTTTTGTAAGAAACTGTCAAACTATCTTCTGTCTTCCGGTGCCAAACTATTTTGCATTCCCAACGGCAGTGAGCGCGAGTTCCTGTTGCTCCACATCCTCGCCAGCATTTGGTATTGTCAGTGTTCTGGATTTTGGCCGTTTTAGTGGGTGTATAGTCACGTCTCATTGCGGCTTTAAGTTACATTGTCCCGAAGACATATGGTGTGGCAAGACTGTTTTTTACACAGTGCTCTTTGTCACTGGGGGTGTATGTCTTTCCAAAGAGAAAAGTAGTTTTACTAAAAATGAGAGCCAGAGCAGAGAATCCAGTCTTCCCCAATAACAGAAAGCCTTCCTGGTTCATGGCCTGTGTTGGGTCTTCTCAGCTGTTTTCTTTGGTTCAAAAGTCTCATAGCCAGCAACGTGGTTTTTCAGTGGAGCCCTGGTTTGGATGTGCTTTTGTTGTTAAAAATATTGTGGAGACATGGCAACCTTTGTTAATTAGTTGGTAGAATTGTGTTATTATCTTGATTATCTCTTAATTATCTCTTCCTGGTGTTCTTGGCCTTTTAAAAGGAAGTGTACTGTTGGGGTTCCTTCTGCCCAGATTCGAACTTATTCAAAAATGGGGTGAGACTAGAAAAACATTTATCGTCCAGATTTCTTTGCTCTCACTGTGGTTTTACATTTGCTTTCAGTTTCCTTTTGGTGTTCCTTTGTAGAATTTTATATTTTAAAAATATTTTAGAGGGCTCTTCAAAAAGTTACCTGTAGAATTAATTACCATAGGACCCAGCAATTCCGCCCTAGGTAGATATGTGAAAGAATTGAAAACAGGGACTCAAATCTTTACAAATGTTCGTAGCAGCGCTGTTTGTAGTACCCAAGTGGAAACAACTCAACTGTTCATCAACAGATGAATGGATAAAGTAAGTGTGGTATATCTATGCAATGGAATATTATTCAGCCAAAGAAAGGAACGAATTACAGATATGTTACAACATGAAGAGACCTCAAAAACATTACGCTATAGGTAGAGGAAGCCAAACACAAAGGGCCAAATACAGTATGATTCCATTTATGTGAAATATCCAGAGTAGGCAGATCCGTAGAGATAGCCAGTGGGTGGTTGCCAAGGGTTGGGGGAAGGGAACATGGGGATTGACCACTTAACGGTACGAGTTTTCTTTTGGGGTGATGAAAATATTTTGGAACTTGGTAGAGGCAAGTGTTCGGCATTTTGAATGTCCGAAACGTCCCTGAATTGAACGCTTTACCATAAATGGTTAATTTATGTTATGTAAATTTTGCCCCACATAAAAAAAACTGTTTGGAGGGGCAGCCCACCTGTGTTCTCGCCAAGGGTGGGTTTTCTAGTGACGCCACACAAGAGTGGTGCTCCAGTGCGGCCTTCAGCGGGGGCCCGGCAAGGAGGCTCAGTCCTGTGGTCGCCACTGCCCCACGCCCAGCTGCCTGCTCAGTGACCTGCTGGGATGGAGGCCCTGAGGGCTGTCTCCCCTCCCTCGACCTCTTCCCTCTTCTGTAAAGCCGGCCTCACCTCACAGGGTCACTACGAGAGTTAGGTAAGATAAGGCATAGGAAGTGCTTGGCACCTGGTAAGCACTTAATAGATATTAACTCTTCATTAATTTCATTAACTTCAGACGTGGGGTCTGAAGAGCAGTTTCTGGTCTGGTTTTGTTTCTGTGGAAGGAGAGAATGACGTGGACTCGGAGAGATGCAAAATGCTGGAAGCAGAGAAATGAGAGTTGACTCAAGCCGACTAGGCTTTGGTTCGACTTTTGAGCAAAGAAGGGGAAAAGTCCCGTTTCCTGGATTCCTTTTAGGAGTCCCCATAACCCCATGCAGCCAGCAAAGCTGGTGAAGGCTCACCTCCACCAGCTGAACAGGGAATGTTCGTGAAGCACTTCGGAAAGCACCCGGCCAGCCCCACGTGGGTTGTAGCAGTCTTAAGGAGACGGCGCCGGGGAAGTACCCCCTGCCCACTTCCCTTCCTCGCCCCTGCTTCCTCAGACGTGAGCACTTGCTGGGCTGTGCCCGCCTCCAGTCTCTGCAGAGCGTTGGGCCACTGGGTGCATCTTGGTAGGCCGGGCTTGGTGTTTCTGAGTTCTGCTTTCTTCCTCAGAAGGAGGGGCTTTAGTCATCCCTGGGCCCGGATGAACCTTCCAGCAGCACGGAGGGGCAAGGATACCCGGACCTAAGGAGAGGCTCTCATCACTCAGCTGTAAGGGGTGGAGGGAACTGGGGAGGGCTGATCCGACTTTCACCAATGAAGAGATACAGTCTTCCGCTCTCCTAGCATGAAACTGTGGCATGGAGATCTCTAATTTTAGGGTATTACTCGATGGAAATGGGTACAGTGATCTCTCTCTAATTCTGTTCCCACTAAACATCTTTACTACACAATTAGCACCTTGTTATGTAGTGTTCTTTTCTGTTGTCACTTCACAATTTAGTGGCCAAGTAATGTCAGCCCTGGGTAGAAAGAAGAAAGATCGTTGGGCTTGGGGTCTGAAGAGCCGTGGCTTAGCAGTGCGTGTACAGGATTTCTACTTAGTTTTAATATTTAATCTGTTTAGCTCTCTTACTTCTTTTGGAATTGGCACCCCCCACGCCCCTCCCCACCCCTCCCACCCCCTCGCCCCTCCTGGAGAACTGCTTCTCTGCTCTCCACTCTGGGGGCCTGCCGAGTGTCCTTCCTGATGGGTCCCCTGTGCCGTCACTGGACCATTGATTGACCTGACTAGGCCAGTCAGGGCTCTCTCTGGGGTTTTTTTTGTTTTTTTGTTTTTGTAAAAGGGCAGGATTTATTTCGAGTCCCCGGGGGTCTCAGAGACTCCCAAGACAGTAATTGCAGCCATGTAATGGGATGTTAAAATGGGGCTTTTTCACAGAGCCCCCGGGACAGGGATATCCTATACCAAAGTGAACACGAGGCAGCCTCCTCTGTGGAAAATACAAAGGAAAAGCACAGAACTGGGTTTACCACTTTTGGACCCCTCAGCCCGATCAAAGATATTGGGGGGTGGGGTCAGACTGTGGACAGGGGAGAGGATTTAATGGAGAGATGTCTTTGGAGAAGCTGCCATCTGCCCCTTTGTACCCGCCACCCAGCGTAGGGCTAAGGGCGACAGAGAGGCCTAGTGGGCGTCATTTCAAGCCCATCGCCCGGAAGTTTGCAACTGGAGGCTCAAGAGCCTTTCTGTCTGAGGTGGTGAGGCCAGAACGGGGGTCTGGAACTCTGGTGGCCCTGGTTTCCTGTCCGGAGGAGAAAGCTGGCCTGCCAGGGGGCCTGAGGAAGCCGCAGGCAGAGAGAAGCAGAGAGAGGTCTGTGTTCATCTGGGAGCCTGCAGCTGCCCGACCACCCCTCCTGTAGTAAAGTTTCTCTTTGGCCGTGGCTCACTGGAGGTGCTTTGTTTAGTTGCTTATAACCAAGCGCCCCAGTTAATAGAACTGTGGTCCTCAGCAACCACTGAGCTTCTCTTAAGAGGCTCATCTTCTTTCTCATGTACAGTGGTAACAATAATCAGCTCACACTTGCTGGAATGTTCAGATGAAATAACACATCTGTGAAAACTTTGGGGGGAATCATAACAGGAGGCAGGGAAGCTGTGACAAGCTTTGTGATTATTTTATTAACTATTTGACACTAATGACTTGATTGTTCTGAATGCTGTTTGTTTCTTCGTTTAGCTTAAACATTCTTTTAGAAACAAATGATGTCATTAGCCCGTTCCATTTTCTTTTTTAAGATTTATTTATTTATTTGAGAGAGCACCAGCCTGAGCAGGAGGGGCAGAGGGAGAAGGAAAGAGAGAATCTCAAGCAGACTCCACGCCCAGCATGGGGCTCGACCTCATGACCCTGAGATCATGACCCGAGCCGAAACCAAGAGTCAACTGACTTTACCACCCAGGTGCCCACATATTCCTTTTTTTAAATCACAGAATTAAAACAACCTTGACCTGACTTAGCTATTCGTAAGTGAATGGGTCTTGATAAATTGGGGCCTTTTCAAGCCTAAAAAAAGCTTTCTCTGAGGTGAGCTCTAATTATGTCTTGCTGAGTACCGTGTATGGACTCCATATCAGATGGCTTGTTCCCCTCGCTTCTGTGCTAGAGAAACTTGTGCTGAAATTCTGGAGTGATTGCACATTTCTTTGGCTTTGAAGTTAAGTAGCCT